GAATACTTTCCGTACCCACTGTATATATATATATATATATATATATATATATATATATAAAACATTTTTTATTTTTTATTTTTTCTCATCAACTCACATTTGAGAAACTTAAATACATCGTACCAGTAATTCACGTTTATGGAAAAGTAATTTTCTATTTTTTTTTTATTCTAAAATTATTGTTTTTTATTTGTGTAAATTGTAATATTAAATATGAAAGTGTTATATGTAGTGTTAATCCAGACGTTAATTAATAATTCCTGATGTAACTCTGATCGCGTCTCATTGGCAGAGCAGCTGTAATTGATCGATCCGTCATGAATCCCAGAATCCTTTTGTCTCTATAATTGATCCGTCAGTGAGTTTGTCTTTCATAACAGCAGAAGACCCATAGAGAGATGAAGCAGACGGGTTGCCATGTCATTGACCTTCACAGGACTGGAGGTGATGTTTTACCTGAGTTCAGATGAATTAGCACTCATTCAAGACAAATCATCACTGCTCCTCCCCCAGATGATGTCAAGTCAATGACCGTTCTGCCAAAAATATAATTCTGTCATCGTTTACTGATCCTCGTGACGCTCTGACTTTATTTGTTTAACAGTGCCATTATTGCTGGTTGTTTTCTCTGCAGTTTGTTAATAAGTGTTGTGGTCTCGTTTGTTTCTCGTGAACCTTCTGTCTGTCTTCACATGTGTTCAATAAAGCAGCTGTGTTTCCTCCAGTGCTTCCAGTGAAGCATCTTCTGCTGTCGTGATCATTTCTGATGGCATTTCATGGCGTTTTACAGGTTGTACAGATAAAGTTTCCCCAACATTCTGTCATTTACTTGTTCATGTTTTGAAGCATCAAAAATGACACAGATGTTCTATAAAAGTGTGATTAAAAAGCAAACATAAATGTGGAAGATAAGCTTCTCTGCGTCTGTATCGGTGTCAGTGTGATCTTCAGGCGCAGACGGGTCTGAATCTGACTGAAGCTCTTCTATAGTTTCTGCCTGAAGCTTTTCTTCCACATGCCTGAATAATGTATGGAAGCTTTTACTGGCCCACTTTAAGAGCATCATGGGATTGCAAAGAACAATATAACAAATAAAATGTCTTTGACATTCGATACAGACACTGGATGTGTGTTGACATGTAAGACGCTCCGTTATACACGTGATTTAACACGCTTGTCAGTTCAAGCAGCTGAAGACCCAAGTGCTTAACTAACCCGGAAACAAGCGCTCGACTAACCAGGAAACAAGCGCTCGACTAACCAGGAAACAAGCGCTCGACTAACCAGGAAACAAGCGCTCGACTAACCAGGAAACTAGCGCTCGACTAACCAGGAAACTAACGCTCGACTAACCCAGAAACAAGCGCTCGACTAACCAGGAAACTAACGCTTAACTAACCCAGAAACAAGTGCTAACTAATTCGGAAACAAGCACTCGACTAACCAGGAAACTAACGCTTAACTAACCCAGAAACAAGTGCTAACTAATTCGGAAACAAGCACTCGACTAACCAGGAAACTAACGCTTAACTAACCCAGAAACAAGTGCTAACTAATTCGGAAACAAGAACTTAACTAACCCAGTAACAAGTGTGTTAATTAAGTGCTTGTTTTTGGGTTAGTTAAGCGCTGTAACTACAACCATAAAGGCATAGATAGTGATATTCTTATTTAATATCAGTGTTAATTTAGCATCATTGACTCATTCATCATTGTTATAGTTTTTTGTTAATATTTTGAAATAGATTTTATTTTTATATGTTCTGCTTTCATGTTAATTTTAGTAAATTAGTAGTTTTTGTTGTTTTTAAATATGTTTATATAGTATTTCATTTTCATTCAATTTTTAGTTTGCTATTTTAGTATATCAAGTTCAACTAAATAAAAATTAGAAATGTTGCCTTGGAAACTTGATGAAATAAAATAAGTTTTAGTTTTTTATATTTTATTTTATTTAATTTAACATTTATTAACGTTTTTGTTTTAGGTAATTATAATAGCCCTGCTCAATGTTTATATTGTCCAGAACAAATAAATAAAGGATTCCTAAATCAAGATACATTTAACTTGAGATACATATTGACATAAAGATATCTTGTTGTCTGAGAAATTGAAATAAGAAGAAATATCTGCCCATGGGTCAGAAAAATCAACTTAATTCAATGAGAAATCAAGTTTTCATTCTTGTTTTAAGCACAAGCTCACTTGAATTTCTTATCTTCTTATCTGATGTCATTTTGCTTTGATTTATGAATGTGTAGATATATGTACTGGAAAACACTGAGTAAGAACAACACGTTATGCAGTGTGTAACTCTGTAGTTTATTAAAAAAAATCAATAAATTGATGAATGCATTTCTCCTCTGCTCTAGCTTGTTTGCCAGTCTAGTTTTTACTAGTCCTGTCACTGCATGCTGCGAATACTGTGTCTGTCAAATTGCTTTGATAAAAGTGCAAAATGAATACATGCAAGTGTAAGATAAAGCACATAATCAAACTCACGGGATCCCAGCATGCATGATGTGATGAGGTCTGCAGATGAGCTCAGAGCTCCTGATGATGACGATGATGATGAAGGTTTTGTGTGTGTGTGTTTGTATTGGCAAACACGCATTTCACTGCATCATTAATGAATGCAAACATGCTGTTGGGTTTGATTGTCTGGTGATGTTTATTCGTCTGATGTGAGTCTAAAGTGTTTTGTTCAGCAGTTTGACTGGTTCTCTGTGTTTCTCTCAGTCTTCATCATCCAGGCGTCTTCGCTTCAGTTCTCCGAAGAGCCCCAGTCTCAGGACGCATTACACGGCCGCAGTGCTATCCTGCGCTGTGAGCTCAGCGGCCCGGAGGACATGCGCATCTGGTGGACTCAGGACGGCCGTCGCGTGCAGGACTCGAACCACCGCTTCCAGGAGGGCAGTAACCTGAAGTTCACGGCGGTGGACCGTCACGCAGACACCGGCAGCTTCCAGTGTGTGGCATCCAGCAGCTCCACCGGAGAGACCGTGACCTCCGCCAACGCCTCCATCAACATCAAATGTGAGCTGCGATTGTGTGTCTCTGGAAACGAGGCGTCACGGCCCAGGTTAACAAAAAGTGCACTTTCATCATGTACATAAAGTGCTCTATTCTCGCGCACTAATTTTGTACTTAATATACTAAAATTATTCTTTAGTACTTAAGATAAACTAAGCGTAATCATC